GCCATCACCTATGCATTTAAATAAATCAGAATTTTCCAACAATGTATACTACTCATTAATGCATAGTAGGCGTTATTTCCAAATTTCTAAATGTCACAGGCAGGGCTGGAGTCACACGAGCTCGCTTTTTAGTACACCGAGTCAAGAATCTGGTTCGCTGATAAACAAAATCTTGTGTGTAAAAGCAATAAGCACACGTACCCCCGTTTTTACGGATAATTCCTTTCAAAGAAGACTTCGGAAAAAATTTTATGCAATTCCAAAAGTGGGCTTCAAATAGGCGAGTCACCGGTGAATATCAGTCAAGCTTATCGACTGTAACTGGGCCGTTCATTCCTCTGACCGTCAGCAGCGTGGCCGTCATTCTATAGAATTCGCTACAATGATCTTCGTAAGGACATACACTCTCACCTAGGAGTAAAAAATTTCCAGCATAAAAACCCCTAAGCGTCACAAGCGAAAATTAAAGGTTTCTGTATCGTCAGACAGGGCGGTTAGTGCAAAAGCATACATTTCTCCACGGATGCGGAGGCGGGGTTGGTAGACGTTGTCAATAACGAGAATAAGTGAAGGGAGAAATTTACTTTTGATTGCCCAGATATCGTTTATCCGTGTGATGGCGGAAAATCATTCATCTGCGAATGAGAGGCAAAAGCAGTAACCTAATTTTGAAGGTCAGATATGCGAGAGGATTTGATCGCAGGGTGCCAGGGGAAGGTTAAGGGCCCCAGACTGCATTGTATAACGTGAACTGGGCGACCTCGGAACTCCACTCCGGCGTCCTGGTTGGATGTTATTCACCATGTGCACAGTGATGGTACCGGTAGAATCGATCCCCAATCACGTAATCCCATATTAACGCGCACATCTCCAATCTAAGCCTGTACAACTAGGTCCTGAATCGTTTACGTATCGAAGCTTTTCCCCATGGCCATACGTCATTATGATTAAATAAGGCACAATATGTTGCCGCATAAAGTGACCATGTTCTCTCCCGCATCTTTCTGGTGTACGTTCTCAACAAGGTCTGGGGACACTGAAATGAATGATTCTCGGAGTAGATAGTCAAACGTTGGCTGAACCACTATAGTTCAGGCGAGCGTATATGGGGAACGTACCGAATTGTGTAATTAGTTGCCATACTGATAACACAGGTACTAGCTAAAAACCCAGACACGCGTAGTTCGCCGATTTTGTGCCGCTGCCTGACGCAGCTGCGAGGGGTTCGGCTCATCAGTGGGTCCCCCAGACTTCCCCGTGTGTTTTCTGGTAATATGAACTCCAGTTCCATCCTACCTTCTTTGACATCCGAGGAAAGTAATGCGCGAACTTGGAATGAATCCTCCGGAACAGACCTTTTCAGGTACGATCCGAAATAATTATACAATTCTACACAACTGGCTGTCTGTTGGCGGTTTGTGAAAATTATGCTGTTATTCCGCAGTAGCTGATGGATTTAAGCCCCAATATTCATATGGGATTTCGGACCCTGCCTGTAAAGGTCTGCTCCGAAGGATTTACTCCAAGTGCGCGCACTGATTTCCTCGGAGAGTAAACACGGCAAGGAGAACGTACAGTCGGAAGCCTAAGTTCCGAGGTCGATAACCAGATCCAGACATCTACCCAGCAAATGTAAGCAGCAACCATACTGGCATGGATTTCGGGTGAGGGGGGAGGTTGTTATGATTCAGTCTTGCCGAATTAAAATTCTTTCCTAGTCTTCTATAGCTTCCCAAGTTCCCCAGGTAGTCAGCATCACACTGACTAACAAGACGCCTTTTGTACTCTCGTAGACGTTGGGTCTGGTCTCTAGCCCACTGGCTCATAGATAGTCTCACTCGTTTACGCTCTTGGTTTTGACCAAGGTCGTGGCGAGATTGATCACCGATAGCCAAGGAGTGGGTTAGAAGGCGATGGTGACTCAAAGTGAACGCCTCGATCTTGACTCTCAACATCTGGCGCCATCACCCACCCGCCCGCGACACCTCACGGACGCAAACTAGGACTCCTTTGGTCCGTTGAAGGACTGGATTCGCGTCACAACCACAACCGACTACTTCTGTCCCGATTTCCTTCACTTTCTCACTCGCCACTCTACTGCTGTTTAATCTCCTGGGGACCTTTCTTTAGGTCATCCTGCCCCCATGAGGGGGTGATCATAGGTTAATTTGGACGTTTGACAAAGGACAATAGCGTCTATGAACCCAGTGCTCTGGGCATTAGCCTAGAGGATTTGTTGTACGGGAAACTATTAGCTGAGCATGGTGGGTCCTCCCAACAGCGTTTGGCCGCCTTCTGCAATTTCCTAAGATTCTGTCTTCTCGGTTACAACAGTCACTTAAAATGATACACGTATTATTTTATGACTAAAGTAGGGATGCGGTCTTGGCTGATGAGTAAAAAACTCCGACGAATGACGGCAGTAGGATTACAGAGGAGAAGAAATTTTGTTTAAATAACAGATGTAGTGCAGAGCTGTCCTTGATTTTCCGCAGAGCTAGAATAAGTTCGTCATTGTCATGCCACCAGCCGGACCGCCACCACCACCGCCGCCTGCACAACGTCCGCATTGACACGTCGAGGGTGGGGCGTCCATGGGTGGCCACTGTGCACCCGCAGGTGGGCCCTGGTTGAACGGAAACTGTGGTGGTGGCTGCTGCGGTGCTCCACTCTGTTGCCATGGCAATTGTTGTCCCGGTGAGGACTGCTGTTGAAAGTAGGGAGGTCTCCCACCGCCTCCACACGGCTGACTACAGCCACCGGCCTCCTGAGGGGGGACCATGACGTAATTAAAGTTGGGAAAGGCGCCGGATGGGTGTTCGGGCACTGGGAGACCTGAGAGTTGCGATGTGAAAGCCAGAGTGCCCGAACCTTGAGGCCCCATCTGTTGTTGCTGCTGCTGCTGCTGCTGACAGCTAGCACAGCAGCCACAGCCCTGGCGTCCCACGGCCTTGGCGCCGGATTGGTAAGGCCCACCTTTACTGGGTCGGCAAGCATCGCCCGCTGGACCGAAGAGCGGCGCCAAATGTCCGGCCCCGCTTGAGGCTAAGGCCGCTTGCTTTGCTCGGTTCAGATACTGTGTTGTCATCGTCCAGTTTTGGTTTGGATGGTGTTGGGGACGCATTGTTTTGTTCCTCAAGTCCTGCTACTGAAACATAATAAGTAGCCCTGAATTATTCAAGCGCCTGTTTCAGTTCACGGGAAAACAAGTTTGGACGCGAGTTCCAAAACGGCTGTCGCAGGACAGGTAGTTGTAGAGCTAATGGACCTAGACTGTTAAAGTCAATTGCCGGAGGATTCTGTAAATTCAAACAACTCACATCATCCTTGTGAGTAGATACTGAAGAGCTTATTCGGATGATTGATAAAGTATTTTTGATCCGTGCAATGCAACCAAACACAGTGCGTCTCTGTTGAGACTTTTTGGTTATGCTAACCTCGCATAGTACTTGCGGGTCTAACCGAGATGTCCCCTTCAAAATACTACCGATATCCACGAGGTTTGGTAGGAAACGACACAAGCTTCCATAAATTTTTAAGGAATATGATTTTGAAGAAAAATTCTTTGAAGGGAGGCAAACAGAAAGCTGTCCGAACAATTACGGAATAGTGGCTTAAATCATCCGAAGAGCTCAGAATCACACTGACTAGTTGCCGAACACTATCAAGCGAAGTAGTGATTTCACAAAATTAGCCAGGTACTTTGTTAAGACCATCCTAAATTAGCTATGCAACTGGGAATTTGGATAGTACTTGGATTCTATTGTAGTTTTAGTATCGTGGTTATCAATAAATACATTTTATTTTATTTTTGGCATCTTTTAAGTGATGGAAACGCGTTATGGCTAAACATTCACTATTTTCTGGATGGAAGCTGCAGGAAATGGGGGAAGTCCGCATGGAAGGAAATCGGCGGATCGAAGTCAATGGAAGTTCCAAGACTCCCTTCTTGAAGACAGGTTTGCACGAAATTAGTAGTCAAGATTTGCGTGCCACGCGCAGACGTCGATCAGGGCGTCGGCGTCCTGTCATTCCGGTAAGGCGTTTGTTGGAAGATAGAATGAGGAAGATGCTTCGTAAGCCCGCATTACTGTTAAGTAGTTAGTCGAGAAGCATTTCTCATCGCCCATTTCCAGTGCAACTACCAAGCACTTCGGTAAATCAGACGAATTCCCAATGGAAGGCTGAAGTATGTGTTCCCACGAAGGAAACATCATTACTATCGGCAGAAATATTCAAGCCTTACTTAATCGGAACGAGCTAGTATCACAAGATCAATTCTAATTTGAAGTGTAACATTAAATGGTCCAGCCAATTTCAAAGGAATTACTGACTCAGTCCAGCAATCTCCCAGTCAGGAAGTCTATCGTCAAGTCACGAAGCTTGGAAATAACAGCCAGCCGTACGGACAATGAAACAACAGCTAGGAGACCTTCAGATCCATCGGTTAGCAACATAAAACAATACTATTTTTTGTGTTTTAAGCCAATTAACGGCTCTGTGAGTTGAGTGATTGTCTTTGTCTGTCTCGGGATATGTTCTACTGATTGAGTTTTCTGCTTAGACGGAGGAGTGAGATCAAGTAACGAAACCGTAGCCCGCCGCTGGGCGTAATGCGAGGATGAGCGACGTTCAGGGTACACCTGTCCGACGTCTACTCAGTCATTATCGATTTTATGAATCATTCATATTGTGAAAAACTCGGCGCCTCGGTTGAAATCGAACACACGCAGTAAGGAGAAGGTTTCAGTACAGCCAACGCTCTAACTACTTGAGCTAAAAGGCCCCCCCGGACGACGCGAGTTTAATCACATTTGGGTCAAGTTACCCGCCCAACCTACTGCAACGTCTGGGGTCCACCAAATGTGGTACAGTAAGTTGACTGTCCAAGCAGGATTTCCTAAGTAATTCACCTAGAATCCACCAGATGACTACCAAGCTCACATAATTCATAGATGCTTTGGCAGATTTTGAATAATTTATATTGATCCAACTGTGGATTCTCGCGTCGTCCGGCGGGCCCTCGTAGCTCAAGTGATTAGAGCGTTGGCTGTACTAAAGCCTTCCCCTTACTGCGTGAGTTCGAATTCCACCGAGGCGTCGAGTTTTTCACAATTGGGTCAATATGAAAAGTCATATAATCATAAAAAGCTTTTGGGAAATCAAACCCCCGCCCGGATTCAGAAGTCGGCCTACCAGTCGATCATGTAACTACTTGATGGCCCTTTTTATTGCCTAGCAGAAGGAGTCTATTTTACTAATCTTCCTGAAGGTCTGACTTGGTCGAACCATTTTCTAAACGGAGATGGGAGTTGGCGCCACGACTTGCGTGAATTCCTGCGTCGAAATTGATCACACGTCTCATGTTCATCAACCAGGCTACGCTAGTTAGTCTAACTCCCGACTAAAACATTCACTCATGAAATTTTAGCCAAAATTCTGAAATACGTTTTCGATTGGGACGAATTCCTTAGGTGGGGTTGTACTATTAATAATCGTGCAGGGATGCTGACTTCTGAATGCACTTCTTTTCCTGACCTCCTGTAAAAATGCACACGGTAAAATAGGATTATTCAAGTACTATGATATTTTCACGTTTATTGTCGACTCCTGATAAAGCCTTGTGCTCGCAGAAGGCCTTCATTAAAGTCCTCCTATGACCCTGGTCAAAGCTAAGTCATGAAAGTTCAGACCCCCACCATGGTACATCGCGCCACAGCGACGAAACGGAAGCACAACTCAGTCAGACTACTCTACCTCTTTCCCTTTCCGTACCACTGACAGAAACTAGACTATAACATTTACCTCAAGTTATGACTACTGTTCATATGTTATTTTACTTCTCAGATTTCGCTGTTCTACCTATACCTATATTAATTTACTGGCCTGATTAAGAATAATTGAAAACGTACTTTCACCGACTTTAACTTTCTCAAAATCAAATATATTGCACAGAAAATGTGCACAAAATATCCATTCTTACGCTCATTTGGTGACAAATTACGTTTTCTTTAGATTTTGTACCCCAAAGAAAAAGTACTTTTCGGTTTTGAAGATGAGATTGGGACCCTGCAATTTTCATTCATATAACATCGTACCTGTCAGTTTATTAATGCTTCCCATAAGTTATACAACATATTTTCCCTACGCCGAAACCATGGACTTCGCGAATTGAAGTTGTGCAACACAAATGCAACGGCGGACTGAACTCAGAGTTATTCGCAATTTGAAAACTCCTTTTTAGAACCAAAAGTTACTTTTTCTTTGAGAATAAAAGTTTAAATGAGTGCGAGAAATAATACTTTTGTACATTTTTTCTATAAAATACATTAAAACTTATTGATACATCGGAAATCTATGTGAAAAATTCATGCTACACCAGTAGTAATTTTTTGCCGTGTGCGGTATTCGCAGGCAGCCGAAAAGAAGTGCGTTCATTGGATTTTGTCGCATGACTATCAATATTACAACCCCATCTAAGTACTCCTTCCTTATCAAAAACGCATTTTAAAATTTCAGCTAGCATTTCATGAGATCGATCCCATGCTTTAATTGACTTAATCATGTAGATTTCGGCTATCATTTGGCAAATAAGCAGTCCAGCAGAGAACACCTGAATGCTCCTGGGGACTGAGCGTTGAGGGAGATAGAGTTAAAAAAGGAGAGCCAACTTACCTGATGTCTACCGGGATTGAAGAGAAACGCGTGTGATTAGGTTCGTTTGCATGCAGTGAAAGCCTCTTTGAGGACAGTGTGAACTGCGTACATGTCCTGACAGTGTAGACGTCACTCCGCAGCTCGTGTTCTCCTAAAAAAATTCGCAGGTCGAAAGTTCGTCGAATTTGCGCCTATCTGTGGGGACACGAGCAGGTTTTTGTGATTTCTGTGACGGCAAACACCTTGTTGCTCCTTCAGCATACATCTTAAACAAGTTAAACGGAGGTCCTCGAGAAGTGAGGATTCTGGGGTCTCAAGTTTTCGGCACGTTGCCGCCCGGACGAGAGCCTTTTGTTAGAAAACACAGGGCTGGAATCATTAATCTGTCCAACAAAATTTAAATTCTTTACTGCTAGCCTGAGCAGAAGTTTGGCAACCAGATTATCAGAGACTGTAAGTCAGGTAATTAGGTTGAGCAAGGAAAAATTGGACACCCAGTATTTCAGGTGGCCCTCAAACAACGCCCCCCCCCCCCTAGATCTTTATTCGAGGCAAAATGAATCAGCGTAAATTATGCTGCCTTCAAGTCCTGATGTTGAACTTAGTAACGTAAAATGATTTTGGAGTTGTAAAAATCCCCAATTCAGAAGAAAAGGTGGCGAGCGAACGTTGCTTTCGATAACTTCTCGTCGGGCCAGTGGGTGCTTTCTGGCAGATACTCCAGTCTAGAAATTGTTGCTTTTTAATTTCTTAACCTGAAGTAGGTCATTTTGAACCGAGGTCTATAGGCGCAGACCGAAATCCGATGTACGGCCGGCGTCCATAAGCCATAGCGGGATGTTCGTTAACTGCAAATAGTAGCAATATAAGCGAAGATGCGAGTTCGAGGAAGTATTTGATGATAAGTAGAAGCGATCGCTGGAACAAGACCCGTATATGTCACTGTCTCTGATGATGGGTTCGAGCGAGAATCCGAAACGTCAGGTGATTAAAGTTCTTTTTCTACCGACCGCTTCTATTTCTTACCAAGTAGTAATATGTGCTACTAGCTGCCTGTCGCCAGTTAATTAATATAACGCGGTTATCCCGCTGTCCGAATATTCATGCATTAAATTTCGGTCTACGTCTATCGGCCTTAGTTCAAAGTGATCTATTCCAAGACTGAGGTAGTGGTAAACTAGCTCGCTCAAGGAGACAAGGGTAAGTTTCCGGTATGCACTACAGCATCCCATGTTTCTTACTTCCCTAAATTGCTGATCCGGAATAAATACTACCTTGAACCAGCAGTTGTTTTTTGTTGTGGTAGTGCAATCATTATTCTCATAGGTTCAAAATAACGGCGCATGCACTAGGAACTTGGAGAAAAAGATGGGCTCACAGGAACGGGTTTATTTAGGCGCTGACGTTTCGAATAGCTTGGTCGGCTGCCCA